CCTCGACCTCGAGTTGTGTCGGCTTTTGTGCTTTTTGCGAGGCGATTCCTCCGTCCCAGATAATAAACCTCCAGGACAATTATAAACTTCACCGGATCGGATTACTACCAGCGTGCAAGGGGTGGCGAGGTAGTTTGCCAGGTCGCTTCCAGGTTTTTCTGAGCCTCAACCTCCTGCTCGCCCCTGGCCGTTTCGAACTGGATGAGTCTCGTAAAACAGTGTGTTCGTGCAATCACTACTGCGTGATGCAGGTTAAAGACCCCCCCCCCCGGGGCTGGCGGTCACAATTCTGCACTGGCAAATATTCTAGCACGTCCGGGACACTCGTGTCTCATTTAATTGCCTGACCAACTTCGCAGAATCTAGATATCACACCCTAACTTTTCTAAACTTGATTTTGTGAAAACCAGAGAGTCGTGAAAACGTTATTTGAAACTGAAACTGTAGAAAAACTTGAAAATCGGACTTCAAACTTTGAAAACTTGGATTAGAAAAAAATTCAAAATCTTCAAAGGTTTTTTTTTTTTTTAATTTAGCGTTAAAAGAGAATCGAAACTTTCGAACTTTTCGAACTTTATGCCAAAAGAAATTCGAAATCTTCGAATTGTTCGAACTTTATGTCTATAAAAATTCGAAGCGTTCGAAGTTTTCGATTTTTTTTTACAAAGAATTTCGAAATCTTCGAATTTATCGAACCTGAAGTAAAAAAATATTCGAAATATTCGAATTCGAAATTTTAGAAACCGTGAAAGCTTCGAAATTTTCGAATTCGAAACTCCGCTGTGGACAAAAGTTGCGAATTTTTCGAAATCGAACCTCGGTCGGTACGAAAATATCGAAATTTTTCGAAATCGAACCTCAGTTCGCTTCGCAAACATCGAAACCTTTCGAAATCGAACCTAGGGTGGTTCGCGACATCCCTACTTTTTAGCCGGTATGAGTTTTACTTATTGTCCGACATTCGTTGCGGCGCATGAATACTTATTATGGGCCTTTCCTAGAATTTAGTCATTTTTTTATTGCGTATATACAATATTATGCGTACTTGTGTGCATAATTTGATGAGCACTTGTTTCTGTTTCGTATTAAATATGCATATGGCGCTTTTCTACACTTTTTGAACTCTCAACCGCGTTGATATTGACGACAGGTTTTTTTTAGCAATTCGTCTGCTTGACCGCCAAGATGTTCTCTGTCTCCGGTTGGTGAGTTTCCAGCGTGAGGAAGAATAACCGCGAATATTTCTTTTTAAATGAATGTATGAATATCTTTCGTGGTACATGACTATGGAGTACCGACTACTCCATCACAATTAAAGGGAGCGTGAAATTCATTTTGGCTGGGATAAATTGATTTCGATGTACTAATCGCACACTGTTTAGTGTGGGAAAAAAAACCTAACGCACGAAGATAGAAAGCCAAAAGCCTGTTTTTCGGTACGCAAACTTGAAGATATAGCGGTTTATTTCTTAACTCCTTTCCTTCCAAAGGTGTGATGTAAGCACTTGTGCTGTATGTACTTTTCGCCTATCGAAGTGGTAAGCACGTTTAAGACTTTGGGGTGTTTTTCTCTAGGCACATGTCTTGGATTCAACACGCTGACTATATTATTTCTAAGCTCTCTCGTATCACTGGTAAGCTGCATAGATATCGTCATGATCTTCCAAAAGGAGTTAAGTTGCTTTTGTATAACTCATTGCTTTTATCTCATCTGAATTACTGCCATTTAGTTTGGGGGACGACGACAAAAAGCAATCTGCAGAAACTATTTCTATTACAGAAAAGAGTGTTACGAATTGTGTGTAACGTGCCTTATAATTCTCACACTGACCAACTTTTTAAAGAGCTGCGTGTAGTGAAGATATTTTATCACTATCCTTTCAGACTTAGCATAAAGTATAAACAGGAATGTCGCGAGTTAAACAGTTTTTTATTGTCATTATCATCACTTCGAAAAAAAGCTGCAACATATTCCACCCGTCACTTGGATGTTTGGGCAGTACAAACATCACGAACAGATTATGGCCTCCAAATGATTAAAGTAACCTTGCCAACATTACTGAACACTCTTATGGGCTCTAATTTTGATGTCGAATCTTCCAATATGTGTGCGCTTAAGGATTATTTTCTTTCAAATTAAACAATCCTTACTGCTGTTGATTAGCTAGCAGATTATTGCTTTCGTTTTTGCTTTGTTAATTGTTTGTTGTTTTTAAGTATTTTGTATTATATAAATTCTTGTGTACGACTTCCCCAGTGCTGTGTACCTGTAAGGGGGGGGGGGGGGGGGCGGGGCTGAGGACCAGTCATTTTCCCTCAGCTCCCACCATACTTGTATGGTAAATAAAGTCATTATTATTATTATGTTCAGACAACCGGATGTTAGTTTGCGTCAATGGTCTCTCAGGTGTAGACAAGCAATTTAGTCAGTGCAGTACAACCGCTAGCCTGGGGTCTTTAACGTGCACTGCGCAGTTGGGATGCTCATCGGGCAGGGGTGGGGATCGAGCCTAGGATCAATTGATTCTGCAGCGCGAGATTTCGCTCCACGTGCTCCGAGCATGCGCTGCGTTTGTACGCTTCGCCACCGATCCCTTTCCACTGTGTTGCATTCGCCGTACCCACGAGTGACGCAGTGCTCGTATCCTGATTGGACACGAGCACTGCGCCACTCGGACGTATGCGCTCGTCAACAATCAATCCGTCGACGAATATTTGGATTCGCGTTCGTAGCCAATGAGTGCCGTGATGCCACTGATTAGTACTTGCGATTGACAAATCTCATTGTGTGCTTAAAAAACGCAGTGGAAGCTTAGAGTCATCGCATTTGGTAAAATACTACGTCGCGACCACGTGATTTCTCATTTCTCTTTGAGTTGAGGACGTCTGGGCTCGAGAATAAGTTGCACCAAAACAGATACACCCTCCCGTTGTTTACAAGCCTTGCGAACACAACGCGTTGGCAAGGCTTGTTGTAGTGATTTGAGCGCGGTATTTGGGTACCCTCGTAGCATTTCCAGTGTTTCTAATCACATATAATCGAAATGAGCAAGTCTGGTTCGCCTTTAAGGAGGACCACTGGGTCGTCATATACTCCAAACCTTGCGAACCCGTCCCAGGACCACGGTATACTTTCAAACAAACTCGTTGCTACAGCACGAGTCCATGCCAATCACCTCACAAAAAATAAAAAATAAAAATAAAAATAAAAACAGTGTTACGATAGAAGGTGATAGCCGACACCGTACAGACGAAAACTATTCATTGTCATAGAATATGTGACAAAGACAGAGACAGAACAGGCTGGTGTGTGTATGTTTATACAGCCTGAAGTTAGTCTGCCTCAACGGGCGACTCGTCTCTCAGCAGAAGATGAGCGATTTGGCCCGTGCGGTACACCGCTAGCCTGGGGTATTTAACATGCACCACGCAAGGTACGATTCTCATCCACGTCGTAACGAGCAGGGATGGGGATTGAACCCAGGATCCATGGGTTCTCCATCGCGAGCTTTCGCTCCACGTCCTCTACTGGTTTGCGTTAACCCACTCGGCCAGAAGCTAAGGAAGCGTCGTCGCGATAGTTCTTGTTGCTTCGAAGTTTATTATTTTTTTTTATTTATTTATCCTACCATGGTTCTTGTTCAGGACCATTGTTGGAAGGGTCCTGAAGTTCGTTCTTTCCATGCTATCAAAAGTGTCTTTCGCTCCTTCTTTTCGTCAATATACTTGCGTTTGTCACCTACCTTTAAGGAGGTTGATCATGGCTTGGTTTAAAACAAATTGGTCGATGCAAACGAAAAAAAGAAAAAGCTTTTCCTTACAAAAAGGATTAGGTAAACAAGACTTGTGCACAACACACTAGACGGCGGATCTGTTTTGGTAGAAAGCAATCCCGAACCTACAGCGTCATGCATTGCGCGCATACGCACAACGCATTTCGGAAAACTGATTCATTCTGTATAGTAAGCGTATCCTATACTTCGTTTCGCCCTACAGTGAACTACAGCCAAAGCTGCGGGCCTCAGCGTCCAATCACGAGCTAGTTAGAAACCACCTCATGTGCTGCCCACACGTAGGGATCAGCCTGCCGCTTCTGTGAGGACGAAGGAGTAATATAGCACACGGATTTACACTGACTCGTGATTAGACCTGAGATTGGTAGCTGCGACTGTGCTCCGTCTTAAGGGGTGTCCAAACAGGACACTACAAAACGCACGACTCCGACAAATCGTGAAAATTGAAGCGGGCGCGAAGCGGGCGCGTCCGCTTCAATTTTCACGATTTGTCGGAGTCGTGCGTTTTGTACTGTCCTGTTTGGACACCCCTTTAGGGCCAGACGTTGTGTAGTTTCCCGACAGTGCACCTTGATGCCCATCTAGTTGGATTGTTGATAACAGATTAATTGTTCGAGTCTTCGCGAGTGGCACAAAAATAATGTTCCTTGTACTTTAGAGAACGCTATATTGCAATACCGTTTCATCTTTATCAATTTATATCTCCGTGCACCATAATAAGTTTTTTTTTGTTCTTTTTTTTTTTCAGACAACGTTTTTTGGAAGGTTACCGATTTCCTGTGGAGCTGGATAAAACACCGGTAAGTTAATCTTTTTACCTGCATTTTGTTAATCTGCAAGAGTGTGGCTGCACTACATTTTTGATTGATTTATGTTGCTTGCTAGTTTTATTGTTATTTGCATTTTGAAAATAATTATTGCTGAGCACGTTCTACAATTGTACAACTCTCTCATTGTGCCACATTGCAGACCACGATTGGTTGCTTATTGGCACAAATAAAGGCTTGATGATGATGATGATGTTTATACTCCGATTGGGACCGATAGCGTTAAACGAGGTAATTTAAAATTTTTGACGATACTGAACCCAACTTTCGCTAGAAGTGACAAAAAGAATTTGTTTGATAATACTTAGATGACTCATCTTTGCATTTTATCGAAAAATTAAAGACTCGTAAAGCGAATAAATATATAATAACCGGTGAATATTGGAGAAATTATGAAACGAAATTTCGTGGCAATAGATCTATCAGCCGAAATCCTCTGGATATTCCTAGTAATGCAATACGGAGCTTTATAATCGTGTACGGATCTCATGCAAATTTGGCATAGACCCAGAAGTATCAATAGAAGCTGAGGGTTTCAAGTTTCAGCCCCTGACGACTAACGCCATCTATGAAGACGCTTCGTAACTACCTGTCGTAATATATATATATATATAAGATTTCCAAGAGCTGTATCTCGGAGAGCCGCAGATGATAATGTACCTAGGTGTCTATATACGGGCGGAATATTAAGTGTTTAGCTTCTTTAGCCATTTATGATATGCGTTCACAAAGTGTAAATCCAGTTGGTTATTTTTTTCTTCTGTCTCCTTATCGCTTTTGATGTCCGGCATTATTTCGCCTATTTCCATGCTCCATGCAAAGTCAGGCAGGCAAACGTGGGTTCTAAAGGAGGCTTACGACTGTTTTTATTGAAACTAACACAACTTTACGGCGTTCCGTAAAACTATCAATTTATACGCAGTTCTAGGTTTCGGTGTATTATGGGAGCGCATCTCTGCACCCGTGGTCCTGCTACCCAGTGGCCGAAACGCGCAACACACGTGACGTGCGCCACACTTCCCTTCATCCTACGAAGGCGAGGTGATGGCTTCGCTCCCCGACAACCGGAGAGCAGGATCGGGGGCGCAAAGATGCGTTCCGATAAGAAACCGAAACCTAGAAACGCGTCCAAGCTGAGCGATTTCTTCAGAACGCCATAAAATGCTGCCCCTGCCTTACATATTTCTAAAAAAAAGTTGATTTAGTGGTTGTTGATGACGCTTAGCAAGTTTCTAATTGGAACCATACGTCCATTTTCACAAATTGAAAAGTTAATTAACAAATTATGCTTAATTAGACGACTCATCGTTAAGACTAGTCTCTTATAGTATGTCCCTCTGACCGTATAACTCACGTACGTAAACCATATATATAATATATTTTTTCCCCAATTTACAATGTGGAATTTTTTTTTTTCTTTTTGCGATTTAGCAGTGCGTTGTCGCTTGGGTGGCAAAGAAAACGAAAGGAAACAGCACAGTGGAAGCTGCGGTACTTGACGTTTGAACTGCCAAAATCGCGAGCAAAATCGTACTATGTGAGCCAGGCTTTAAAGTGTACTCTATTAATTAAGTATCACGGATATTCCCAGTTGAAGAATGACCACAGATTTTTTCTAATATAAATATAGTACTCATCTCAAAGGTGAAGACCTCACACGGTGCAATTTTGAGCAAAGTGTGCTCGGCGCCGAGAAGCAGACTTGTACGGTAGTTATCACAAGTAATCAAATCACTTACAATATATTACCCCGGGGATTAATTTCGTAATCATTCGAATACGTTTATTAGAGAATAATCACGAGAGTAACCTTACTACTTTTGAAAGTTCTAAAAATTCTCGTTACTATTTTTTCCAATTCCTAATGGCGCACTTTGAACAAGTTTCTGCCAAGGAGTCCTCGAACCAGTCTCCGACAGGGAAGTGTTTACAAATGTTGGAGGATTAAGAATATCAGTAGTTTCGGTGATTCTAATTCAATAATGGACGGCACTAAATACCTGCGTACAAACCGACAGAAAATTTTGTTATATTAAAAATTTGAAGTAATTGAAAACGTAACGGTAACTTTTCAACTAAAGGGCAATTTCTTTTATCCTCAAGTAATCAAGTAACCGAATTGAATGCTTTTTACTCGAGAGTAATTGTAATTGTAATCAATAATTTTTTTTTCAAGTTCAAGACTGGTCAGTAGAAGGCGTATAGCCGCTACCATTCATTCGACTAAAAGCGTTGACAATGCTGAGGCCTATTTTGCATAAAAGCAAAAAGACCTCGTTGAAATTCGCGGAACGTCTCGAAACCGGCTATAAAAAAAAAATTAATAGCTAAAAGTGCCGTTTGTTGTTTCTATAATTATTTCTAGAAGAAAGAATAAAGCAGGAAGAGGTATTTCTGTTTCGTCCTCTTATAAGTGTACACTTATACCAACACGCTCGTTACGAATATAATGATCACCCAATACTTCTAAAGGGCTTTAAAAGGGTGACAAAATAGGTGAAAATAGTCATCCTAAATGAGCACTACATCCTAAATTAACTCTAAAAAGTTTAAATAAATCTAAATTACTAAAGAATATAAGAATATAAATTATGTATCTAGAATGAGAAGTATAGAGAAGGGGGGGGGGGGGGGGGGGGGTCCCTCAAACATGGGTCACGTAGAGGCGCAGTTCTCAGTCGGTCAGATGCTTCACAGTTCTCCATTTGACCACCAAACCTATATTGCTCGTCTATTGTACGCGAGCCAAAAGCCAATGCCTTTCTGAATCCAGCTTCTTGGCCGGCTTGCTAGAACATGGCTAGAATCAGCGCCATAGCTGAGATTGCGTCAAAGAAAGCACTGCTGAAGCTAGCGCACGGGCGGAGTGGCTCGCGAAATCATAGAGTTATTCTAATGTACGCTAGAAGTTCAACTAGCGCTAGTGTGCTGCGGCAAAATGAAGCAGATAACATCTAATCGGAAAGTTGACTTCTGATAAAGCATTTTTATGGAAAAAAAACGAGTGCATTTTCTCCCTGCGATTGATTATAAGAGCAAATATCACGAATAACTCGTACACTCTAAGAAATGCCTGCGCGTCTACTTACCCGCAAAACACTGTAAGAGCCAATCTCTGCGATCTACGAAATCAGCTCAGCGAATGATGAGGCGTAACATCTGTTTAGACGTCAAAATGAAGTCTGCGCTGTGGAATTACGCAATGCAAGCATAACGCTTTGCATTGCGTAATGCCACAGCGCAGACTTCATTATGGAAACCAAAATTCTCGCTGTGCCCGAGATCACCCTGATAAGGGAGCGTTAAACAGATGGCGAAAAGGGGAAGCCAAACCGGGAAATGAAGCCGGGTGAACGAGAGGGCAAAGGCCAGGACCGTCTAAAGTTCGTGGATTAATTTCGTTCATCCCCTCTTCATTTCTCTGTTTTCCTCCCCCTTTTCGCCATCTCTTGCAGAACCCCTTATCGGGGTGATCTTGGGCACAGCGAGAATTTCGTTTCCATAATCAGACGTCGTTGCTAAATGAAAGTTATTGGCTCGAACTCGTCCTTCGTATTTTTTATTCTTTTAATTTTAAGTATCTACATTTCAACACGCTCGCCTCAATCAGTTGCCAACTGATGGATCTAAGAACTTTGGTCTCATCTATGACGCTGATAATAGCAAGCCAGCCCCATGGCATTCGGATCGTGTGATCGACCTATACATCGTGATATCGACTCGCAATCTTCTCGAAAAGGAATCGCGAGTGCCGGTGCATAGTCAATGATTCAATCCTAGCTCTAACTTTCGCAAGGGTCTTCACTGAACGTGAAGTCACCAAGTTAGAACGAGGAATTCTTTGGCAACCTCGCAACGCTAAGACAGCCGATCAAAGCGACTGTATTACTCTACCCTTGGCACAAGAAAAAGGTTGCCAAAGTACACCTTAGTTTCCTTATTTTTGTTCGTATTTTTTTTTTATTTCTCGCGTTACGCTGTTGTACGTGTGGCGTCATAAAATCAGTGTCCTCCAGGTGGACTGTAAACCTGCGAAGCTCAACACAAACGCAACACACGCACTGCAGTCATAAAAGTCTTCGGCGTTATCGGTTCGTGGGCGACTGTACCACACTCATTTCTAAAAACAAACCAAAACGAAAATGACGTAGACCTGAATATGCAAAGAGCGGAAATACACAGCTAGCTGTCCTTCGTGTACGTTTTATAAGCAGTGCAGACTGGGATGTGCGCCGCGTTACACTCGATGGCGCAACTTCCATCTGATCTTACGAAGGAATCCGACCTTTGTTACGCCGTAGTTTATTCAGTCTCGGAAAACGACCATCTTTAAGGACCGTATAGCGAGCGCGCACGGTGGACAATAACGAGCGATAAGCGGATTGTACTTTTCATAAAAGAGGAGGCGCTCGTGGCCTTTTGGCAATAGAAGGTCGTTATCGGCGGGACAGGTCGGTATTTATTAAAAAGCTCAGAACGCTCTTCTCGAGATTAAAATTTGTGGATGCGCATCTCTTTGGTTTTCAGGATCACTTAGGAATGAAAAATGTTCCGTAAAACCGTAAAGGATCGGTCATGACTTATGTCTCGCAGTGTCTCTCCGTGCTGCATCTAAGAAGGGCCACTCTTTTTGCCGTTCGGCGATGCGATAATCGGGTATAACGAAGGTTGGGAGTTGGAAGTTAGGTTGCTTCTAATATAATTAGAATTCGTTCGCAAGGTTAATACGGTATGACCCCGTAATGTCTTGTGTTTCTTTGGTCATCTTTTTATTTTTTATGAGTAAAAGTTTAAGGATTTTAGAGGGAATAAGTAATTTCATGTTAAGCTAAACGAGCGGATCCCAAACCATATACCGTAACCAAAACAACAACAACAACAGCAACGTTTTGACGGTTGGTTAGAAAAAGCGGTCGCAATACCGGGCATCCCCCGTTCATTTCTAGATATATTTTCGGATCTGGTCAGCGAAC